TTTATGCTGAATACCACTAGAATCACCAATCATTAAAATACCTACAAACAATGCAAACAATTCTTGAAAATTAACAATTTTTTCATACTTTGCATTTGAATTGATATGAAGAGATAGTCCGTAAAACAATGTATTCTTAATAGAGAGCACAGTTATGCCAAAACACAATCGTTGTCTTATGTTATAATTATTTTTCAGCATAATTTAGAGTAACCAACAATTAAGATACGATTTGAATATAATTGTCGTGAGTTTTAATAATTTTAATATTATAGCACTATAAATCAAATAAATTGGCACTGCTTTCAATTAATTAGTATTTTATTCAAATCATCCGAAAGAAACACATTTGACGACTCTTTGACCCCAAAAAACGACTACAACTCAATAAAAGTTTAGATAAAAACAGAGCCCCGAGTTTGAAAATGCTTTCAAATTAATTGTGAAAAAAAGAGTACAGTATTTCTGTTGCATAAATTAAATGGTTAAATAATCGATACATTTCTCAAAACTTATTTAATGATTTAAAACAAATTTGATTTGATTTAAAATCATTTTCACACGAAAGTTATGACTTGTTTTTTTTCTGAGAAGCTTTAAGCGTTTTTACTTTGAATGTATTAATGTATTAAATGATTGTTTGATTTCTTATGAATAAAACATTTTAATTTATGACTGAAAAGATTACTTAATTTTAAATATACAGTTAAAGCGACTAATTATTTAAAATATCTCCGATAAATAGGTGATCCATATCCCCGATCACATCAATTCTAATCTAATAAAAGTCAACAAAAATTTTAATTAGTAGTCGTTTTTAAAAAGTAGTTTTTGTTAAGCTAAGCACACAATGAATTCAATTTGATATGAATTATTATGTTTTCAAATGTTTGCTTTTGTGTAAAAGAGAAATAAGTATTAATGTTTTGAGTGAAGTTATAATAAGTGAATAAACTTTTTATATCTATTTTATGAAATGAATTGAAAATTATATAAAAAATGATAAATTGTTTCTAAAGACACGTTTAATTTATTCGATAGTAATTTATTGAGTCAATAGTATTGGAGCAAAGAATTGCATTAATTTTATGGATTATTGTGTAGAAAAAATCAATCAATTCGCAGTTTGTAAGACATATCACACATCAGTCCAAATGTTTTGCATTTGAAATGAAGTTTTTGGAAAAACGGAATTATTTATTCTCCATCGAGTATACAGTACTGTATATCTGGATAGAGATAGTGATGTTAATTGAGTTAATTTATAACATTTGCTTCAATGATCTGTTCTCACGTATAGTGTATTAGAAATATTGAGACCAAACAATAAGTCTGTAATTTAAATACGAGTCATAATAATTTATTTAATAGTATTTCTCATTAGTGGCGATACAGCCCGAAATGGTATGGATTTTGGAGTGTATGTAGTGTTTTGGGTATTGATATGAAGGGGGAAATGGTTAACATTAATGCTTTTGTGTCCGTCCGCTAACAATCATTCGTCATTTGAGTCATTATTATTGTGGAGCAAAGTATTGGCCCATTCTTTGCATTATATTCACCAGTCATTGCCTGTGATGTTGGAAGCGCTCAAAGTTATCAATCAAATGTGACACTTAAACCTGCATGCATTCAATGCTACAATATATGCCGTACACTATCATAGACATGCATCCCATTCCTCACACACACCACCACTGCCAGCACTGGCAGATCCAACTACACTACAACTAATTGAAAATCACTTTTAGATTAGAGCTAATAATACTCTTTTTGCATATATTTGAACAGAATTTACACAAAAAATACTGAATAATGATAGAGAAGAGACAAAAAATGATCGCAAACTTTGTTTTCTATGAAGCGCTCAGATATACAGATATGTCTATAACTCTGGTGTCAGTCCTTTATAGTCGTTACAAATGAATGCATTTTACAATTTAAAACCGAATCTCTTTTCTTTCAAAACTCAAAACAAATCAAAATTTTTGTAAATTTGTGCCAAAAATACTGTATGTCTTTCAATCAAATACTAAATAAAGGGAATCTAAACTTAAAAATAATTATTTCAAATACAATTAATTACTCGTTTTAAGTGAACACAAGTGAATGTAATTGACTTTAATAACAGATAATTTATGATAAAAATGATCAATGATTTGAATCAATTATTCAAAATTATTCTTTGCTTTAATTTACTTAAAATGCAAAAAAAAGTCAAATATATTTTCATATTAAATATAAGTTTAGTGTAACATATAGAGCGGTGTATAGTATATCATATAATATTGTGTATGAAATGATATGATATGATAGGATAGCATGAACTTCAATGTAATGATAGTTTGTGTCTCATATACGAAATGGACGAACACTGGGCGGACACGGCGTTCGTATCGTTCATATCATCATTTGTTAGCAAAACATAATTAATCACAACTTTTCCTCATAAGTCTCGACACAATCTGTCTGACAGTCAGTCGAAGCGTTCGTTACAAACGATGAATCAGTCAATGGTTTCCATCAAAAAATAGTGAAAACTTTGTATAAAAATAGAGAAAAACTTTTTCTTCAGCCACAAGAAGTGGTTGTCCTACAGATGGCGTATTCCGGTCGCTATCGGCCATACCTCCCATACCATACATACCATTGGCACCGATATTCTTAGGATTCAATTTGGTCTGACATACACTACACTACTGTATCTCAAGCGATAGATTTTCAGATGAAAATTCACATCCGGTTCTCATTTTCTAATTATATGATTACTATTTTGTTTTCAAATGAAATTTATTCAAATCAATATATCGTAAGAAATAAAAATAATCTTTTCGTGAAATTCTTTTTATGTATACTTTGATGAATAATTGAATCAAATAATTATTAAAATTATCATTTTAACTCATACTCCAGTCATTAATTAAGAAAATTTATTAATCTTTTTTATTCATTAATTAATGTCATAAAAAGAAAATACATTTACTATAACTGAGTCCGTGCTTAAGAGGGGGTTACCAGGGGAATTTTCTAAGAATTTTATACAACTTTTATATAACTATTTCCAAAACATGTAATCATAATAATAATGTATTTTAAATCATCCAGACAACTATCAAGGATTTTTGAAAGCAAACTATCAAATAGTTGACTGTCAATAGATGTTACAAAATAATATATTTGATAAATTAGATTTACTATCATTTTTCAAACAACAATATTGTCTTATGATCATTAATGATTAACATGCACTTTTGCCTAATTTTTGAATCTAAGTGAAGTTTCATGATAATTATTAAATTTCAAACTACATTCAAAAACAATATAAAATAAAATAAGTTAATTATGATTTGTATAAAATTCTAATTAATTGCATAACAATTTTATTACATTTATTGATCTGTTTCTATAATTTACTGTTGTTTTAATTTATTTTATTTTCTTATACCTCATAAAACAAGTTATGAATCAAAATGCAAGTTTCCATACTAAATTTTATTATAAGTTTATAATTTATGACTTAAATTAGTTTAATTTTGACTTTTTTAATTAGAAAAACAATGCTGGAGAGAAAATATTTTATATGATATTAATCTAAATTTGAATTTAATATTGATTTTGCAGACAAAAAACTAATTTTATGAGATATTATATGAGTTTAATTTAAATAATTATTTTTGAGAATAATATATATAATAATAGTAATAATTCATTATTTCGATATTCCTTTACAAATAGTTTTATTGAATAAATAGAAAGATATATCAGAAATGAGTTCTTTATATATAAATGTAATGTTTAGCCAAAAGTTGTTTGAGTTGTGTTTGAGAAGAGAAGTGAAATCTGAAGAGAACTGTCAAATGGGTTCACATTTGATTAATTGTCTTAAATTTTTGCTTCTATTGAGCTATAATTCATTGTTCACTCTGTTGTGAAGCACAACATGTTTTGTGATCTTTTCTCTTCTCTTTTGTTTCAAAAAAACTTTTTTAAAACATTTTCTCATTTCTAATAATCATTTTTCTGATCTTTTGTTATTATATGAAAACTATAATGTTTTGGACCACATATTTAGTTAAGCGATTCTGGGCTATGGCTACGACTCTCTGGCCATTGGCAAACAGATCCCATACCAGGGGGGCTGTCATATTGTGATCGATGCCCTTCAATATTGGAATGGAGGGGGGAATGGGTGGTCAGTGAGCTCACAAACATAGCTAATGATGGCTCGCAAATGATGAGCGCGACGACAGAGACGGATGGTCTGACTATTGTCAGGCCGACCGATAGGGCCCGCCCTTCGTGAGGGGTCACTCTCTGGATGCCTGACTGAGTGGTCGAGCGAAAAAATATTTCGTTTAGTGAAACATTTTTTCGCTTTTCAGGGACACATCCAGAGATGTGTGTCCGTACTGTTAGCCCTCGTCATGAGTTGTGGTGAGTGTCTGACTGACTGAGTAGAGTCTAGTGAGTGATGAGCTTTCTTTGTTTGAAAGGCACGTAAGTTTGCCTCTAATACTGGCCCCGGACTCCACCCACTCATTACTGGAGAGAGAGAGAGAGAGAGAGAGAGAGAGAGAGAGAGAGAGAGTAATAAAAGTGATGCCGTGATGGCAATGATGGCAATGATGTGAACCATATATCAAAATATTGTTGCTCTCTATGCGCTCAACGCTTGGCCAACAAACAAACCATTCAAACCATTCAAAACCATTTGCATATAAAGTACTGTTCATACGGTGTGTGCAATGCATTAAAAGCTAACAAAAAAGAAATGCCAAAAACGGCTAAAATTACTAATGAATCAAAAGTTGCATTTATTGGTCGACATATTATATTATATGCAAAAAATATACTTCTAATTAATTATTACGTGTATTTCTGCCATTTGTTACGATAACATCATTTTTGAGTTCACTTGCGCCACAACTTGTACTAAAGGGAAATAGTTTTGGGAATGAATGGTATGAATGGCCAAAACAAAAATGAGACGTGAATTGAAGTCACATCACCAGCACTGGTAGAGCACTGGTAGGCTGAGGCACATCACCAGCACTGGTAGAGCACTGGTAGTGCTGTAGTGTACACTTTGGAGCACTTTCATAGCAATGAGAAATGTTCGGTGATTTATTTGAGTACATTTACTGTGCTATGCAATGGACAGGCCGTCAAACATCAATCAAAGTAATAGCGTTCAGGAAAGTGACACTTAATGCACCCGAGAGACAAATGAGTGTTAGGACTGCACCAACTCCAACTACCATTCCTCCAATGCCTACCAGTGCTGAAATAGTGCCAGCTCTACCACAGCCAACACTTCTTGGAACGACTGAATCACAAACAAAATAAAAGCTAAACGAAAAATATTCAGTTATAATAATAATAGCAATAATAATAATAAGCCATAACTACTAATAGTCGTTCCCTTCTTATTCTCAAAATATATTAATTTATGAATTTATGAACTCATAGCCAATCTATCGCTCCTTTATTGAGCCCTTATGTACAGTTTGGGTGAACAACTTGGACACAAGGGATCCTTTACCAGTCATTCCATACCAAACCATACCATACCGTTCCATAAGCACCAATACTTTACTCTTTTATTTGATGAAATATCATTCAAAGAATGAGTTAAGAGTATAATACTATAAATTAGTTCATCTCTCACTCCAACTCTCCAATCATTCTCATTCTCGTCTCACTTTCATTACGCGCTCTCTTTCTCTCTCTCTCTCTCTCTCTCTCTCTCTCTCCATCCCTTCTATGGGTGCGTAAAAATGACAATTTCTTAACAAATGAAAATGAAAACTAAGAAATAAGTGGAAGAGATAAGCGATACGAGAGAGAGAGAGAGAGAGAGAGAGAGAGAGAGAAGTGTTGAGAGAAGTGATCAGAAGTTGGGAATGACTGCAAATGACAACTGAGACTAACTGTTAAGTGAAATAAGGATTCAACATAACATGACATTATTGCTAAGGGGTCTGAAAGTATAACTTACTATTCAGTTAGCATTGAAATGTCGAAAATGTTTTGTTCAGTGGAATAGAAAACCTTTTGATAGGACCCGAACTCCAAACTTATGATAACATACTCTTATAATCGCTTGTCTGACAATAAATTGTATTAAAAATGAGTCAAAAAATTGAAATTTTTAATTAAATGAATTTGCATTCACTTAATGAGTGGCTTTCAACTGTAACGTACGGCTTATAGGAATGATTGTGTAATAAAAGTATTGTTTCAGTAGATAATCGTTAGTAAAGTAGTGTTTGTTTGATGACAAGCAGTGAATCATTTGAATCATGCAATGGTTAGAGACAGTTGAGAGTCAAACAAATATTATATATGTTTGTCATTTGTAGCCAACAGTTGTAATAAAATGAAATAATTTAGTGCTTATTGGGAACAGGTAATATAACGGTATTGCCATTTGGGCCATACGGTGCACATAGTGGCACAGACAGTACAGCTCATACAGGGGCCGTACGATCGCTTATTTATGGCATTGGCAGAGAATTGCAGAATAAAAGTATATTATCTTAACAGATAGTCTAATATATTTGTTTATCTCTTAAATGAGTAATTCGTTTGTTTTTGGTCTCATTATAGACGTCGTGAAGATATAATGTATATAAATGTGTGTATGTTTTGACAATAACTAATTAAATGCATACACTATTAGAGTGGGAGATGTGATAGCAGAGCATTGGGATGACGGCTCCAGCACTCACTCCAAGCCTATGACACAATCAGACAGAATGTGAGACTCTGTGCACACATCAGAAGCAGACGACCAAAAATGAAGATTAATTCTGAGGCATTCAAAGGCATCCAAATCCGGTTGAGTGAACCAAAACTAACGGCAATCGCTGTGAAACTTTCGATTCTTTGCATATTTCAACATTAAAATGACAACTAATTCAATGCAAAGATGACTTTGACAGCGAATCAGCCAAAGAGTTGGGTCGACACATACAGCTTCAGCACAGGCTGTGAAACACACGCTCACCAATGCTACTGATGATGAGGCCCTTATGAAGAAATTAGACAAAAGACTGACTCCACTATCATTTCATATCATATTAGGATTAGTGAACATTATTAACGCAATGATTAGTCGGGTTTTCAATATTTAAGTTCGAGTTAAATAAATACACGTTTGGTTTATATTTGTTTTCAATCATATAACTCTATTCTGTATGCAATGTATGCAAAGATATGCCAAAAGCTCTTAACTCTTATACAATATTTACTCATTACAAGTACACACATCTGTATAATATATATCCTAACCTACCCTCTCCTACCATCTCCTCTACTATTCATAACTGGCTGTCATGTTCTACATCTCCTTTCAAATGCTCTTATGTTTTAAGTCATAGACTTCATAATTATTATTAAATAGATTTTATTTTATGTTTTCTTCTATTATCTGGAGATAGAAATTCTTGAACCAAATCATTACAATCGTAAAGCTATAGAGCTATCATTTTTCAAGTGTTTTATACCTTACCGTAAGATATCAATTGCCTGAACTGAATAACAATTGTAAAGAATTTTATGAAAAGTTCTATTTTTTGAGAGAAATGAAAAAATATTGTTGTTTTGTTAAGAGAAACAAGTGATTAATTACTTTCAAACACGAGATTTGAGTTGAATTTGAGGTAAAATAAGTGAATAGAATATAGTGTTTGAAATATAAGTTTTGTCTGAATTTAATTAATTTAAAAGAAGTCTATTAATTGTTTGCAACACTTGTAAAATCACTTGCAATGAGCTATGAGTTGTATAAGATATAAGACATGCTATCCATCGACTAATTATAACCTCCGATACCATTAAATATTGCCGACTCTGAGGCATAAATTAATTGTTTGCAACACTTGTAAAATCACTTGCAATGAGCTATGAGTTGTATAAGATATAAGACATGCTATCCATCGACTAATTATAACCTCCGATACCATTAAATATTGCCGACTCTGAGGCATACCATGTATTGTTACAATCATTCATGCGATAAGTACTGAATATTTCCCATTTTTAACTTACTTTAAATTCATTATTTCAATGCATTTATTGACTTTTCGGGTAATTTATTCAAAAAAATCTAATTAATATTTTTTATTTATTTAATTCATTATAAATTAATTTTGAAGTTTGAATTATTTGACAAAAATACAATGCTTGCTAAATATAATAAATAATAAAGAAATAAAATATTATAACTTATATTAAAATATTAAATTCTATTAATTTATAAATTAAGAATATATCTAGCTTAAACAATCATGTTTGATATATGAATGTAAATCCTTTATTAAATATAAATTGTGTTTTTATTATTAAATATTTCTCGTATTATTAAATATTATTAAATAAACACTCCTTTCCTCACAAATTAACGGAAAAAGATTTTTATTATTCCAGACTTTAATTACTTAAATAATTGTTTTATATATCCCCAAAATTTTCAGTAATTTAATAACTTATTAATAATAAGAATTAATAATAAATCAGATTTAATTACCAATTTATATTTGATAAATAATAGACTTAATAATTAATAATTCAGTCGATGTTTAAATCAAGAAACAATTTATCAGAATTTGATTAATGATTATTGAAATATAATTATAATTGACATCAAATGCTAATCTATTGTAAAGAATTGTGAATATAATCAATAGATTTGATTAAATAAAAACAGTAATCATGTGAATGTGAATTGAATTTTAAAAAACATAGTGATAAATATGAAACATCACTAATATTGCACAACAGATGAATCAAAATGAAAATTATTGATTAGTCTTAAGCAGAATTTCAAGATTATATTAAAATTCTAGTTAAAGACAATCAATAATTTTCATGAGATTCACCTCATGTTCCGCTAATAATAGTAATACTGTTTGAGAATTATTTATAAAACATTGACTTTAATTTCAGATTAATGTTAAGTCAATTAAACCGTTTGTTATTCAATTGGAAAAGTTTAAAGTTTATTATCTTTTTACACACTTCAAATCATTTACACCATTTTTGTTAGTTATATACATTTTTCAAAAACAATAGAAATTCAAAATTCAAATTATTAGTAATAAATCTGTGATTAAACAAAATTTTTGGCTCCAATTTATAATAAAGGATTAAATATATGAAATCAAATATAGCGAGCATTTAAATCTGCATTTTATGTAAAGTCGAGTAAAACTGATTTATTGATATTTTCCGTCACAAGAATTAATATATGGTATAAATTCTCAAATTAAATAATACAGTGCTATGAATAGATTAAACTCATTTATCATAGCATAGTGTCTGTATTGGCCATCATAGCCATCATATCATCTCATATCACATAAGACTATAAGACTATGAAGTCTGCGGATGAGTCGTCACTCAAACATCAAATACTGACGGCACAGAATGGACTGAACATGAATAACCAGGATTATTTATCGTTTAGCTACTAATCTTATCGTTTTCAATGTTTGCAGTTATTAATAACGAGGGAAAGGCTGTGTCACTGATCAAGAGGATTGATATGAATATATGATATGTATTTGTTTTATCTCTAAATTATTTCGTCTCAAACTTATCATTAAAAGTAGAAATTAATTACATTTTGCATTTGAATTGTTAATAAAATATGAACTCAACTCAAACTCGCATTCACATCACTATATGTGATATTTACACATATTTTGCTTTCTATTCAGTGATATTCTCGGATATAATATTATTTTGGGTTAGAAATATCAATTCAATTGAATGGCAATAAATCTAATGTTAACCACAATTGCGTATTGAATGTCATTGAATACAGAAAGAGATCACAACACGAGTGTAACAATGGATGAAAAGGTAACTCAAAAATTTAGTGCCAAAGACCAGAGAGTGTTGGAGCCGATAGTCAATACTTTCTTCGCTTTAAATATATTTGCGACAAAACAACTTCCAACTCATATTTCCCACATTTTTTACCGGCAAAGAGAAGTGCAAAACTACTCTTAAATAACGTTTTGACTGTTTTTTGTTATGAGAAACTGAAGTTTAGTAGTAAATCATTTGAACACAATTGTCAATATTATATGCGATACCTTTAAAAGAAACGCTCATTTCTATGGCATAACAGCTTCTGGTCCATCATATCACACGGTTTACAGTGAGACAGACCGTGCATTGAGAGCACATACAGGCATACATAGCACACATACATACAGCACTGTAAGCACACATACATACAGGGCATACAGCACTGTAAGCAGAGCACAGGCCTCACTGCACTGTAGTGTACTGTATATGAAAAGTTTGAAGTTTGAGATATGAGTGCTCCATATAAATGGCATGTCTGTCACTCTTTCTTATGGACAGATAAAATATGATTGTGAGCGGGACTGTCACACACTATGATGACTAATTTGAAATATGTCCCAAAATGGTCGAGAACTTATACCAGCCGACACTAACTCTCCTCCCCTGCCATCCCTATCCCCTCTGCCCCCACCGAACACAGGCGCTCCAGACTTACGTATAATACCCACAAAAGCTATGCGTTTGTGTTTCCCCTTTCCATATATCAGTCCTACTTTGACATAAACGATGGCATTTCATCAATCACTCAGAGCTGTATTTCTGCTAATATTATGCTTGCAATCGATGCACATCTGCCACATCTCTGGCCTATTTTCATCCCAACACCACTCACTGCCTCAGCAACGCCTCCATTGCCTCTTATGATTCATTAAGTTTGAGATTAAGTCAAAAGCAAATTAACACTTTTTCCACAAAAACTCATTCTGAAAGTGATCTCAAAAAATAACATCAAAACAAGCAATTCTTGTGTCAATAAAACAAATAAATGGCAAAACATTCTTATGTAATACTATTCTATAATTTAGTATTAATTTAATTTTAGTTTTCAAAAAAACGAGACAAAAATAATTGAATCGTAAAAAGTTTTCATTATATGTTTTGGTAATAATTTTTTTTAGGTTAACAAAAGGGAAGAATTAATTTGCATATGAGTTGGCCTTAAAAGAGAAGGGAATATCAGTTTGAGATCTAATGTCTGTCGGCATAACAGAATCCAATGAGACAAATGTCACGCTTGATATGTTTGGACGGAATAACTCACTTACTTTGAGTTGTCAATAAAATTGAGAGACATCTGCAAAATTGTAGATAATGTCCCCAATTATACGTTTAGACAGACCTTCACTCTCTGCCACTTACTGCGAGCAACGAGAATCAAAATATTGAATCATTGAATCACTTCACTTATCAGTCTCTCTCTCTCTCTCTCTCACTCACTTTCAGAATGAGTTTTTGTGGAAAAAGTGTTAATTTGCTTTTGACTTAATCTCAAACTTAATGAATCATAAGAGGCAATGGAGGCGTTGCTGAAATAGACAAAACAAATAGTTATAATTAAAAGTATATCTCAAAAGTCTTTATTTCTGAGCATTTATTGAATTGTAATCTAAATATAAATTGTTTTACTCTCTCTCTCTCTCTCATCGATTTTCTTAGCAAACAACTCACCCTTCAATCAAACTCTTTGAACTCTTTTGACAATTTATTCAATTCTTTAATACTCTTTCAATCAAAAGATAAGACTCGGGAGTCAATCAAAAAAGGCATTTCAAATGAATGAACAAATTTTTATTTTTAGTAATAAATTATAATTGAATTGATATTTATTTACAGATGAATAATAAAATTGAGAGATTTTGAAATAATGATTGGCGTCTAATGTATGGTGTGATCACATTGGAAGCACAAAAGACAATAATCTCTACTCTTATTGTAACTTTTGGCTCAAATATGTTTTGTGTTGAGTTTGAGAGTAAAACAATTTATATTTAGATTACAATTCAATAAATGCTCAGAAATAAAGACTTTTGAGATATACTTTTAATTATAACTATTTGTTTTGTCTATCGATCAATAATTTATTAGACAATTGAAAAACATCGATAATAGTTGTCAATAATTTCAAAAATTGCAATAATTATTGTTTGTCACAAAAAAGAAAACTGCAATCAATTTATATCAATATATTCATGTAATAGTAATGATAATATTATTATTATTTATTTTTTGTGTTTTAAAAATTAATGATATGATATTTTCACTAATTAATTGGATTTGCTTTAAATTGCGATCTAAAGCCTAATGTCTTTAAATCATTTGATTTGACAACCATTGGTTTTAAAACAATTATTTCAATCATTAAAACAGATTTTTTTCATATTTTCAAAATTCTTTTATATATATAATTAGATTCTATATATAATATATTTATAGAGATTTGAAATTAAATTTATATAATAATAATAATAATTATAATAATAAATTAGACATATTTACTGGACAACTGTTTAGCCAGTTCAGTATACTTTAAGAACTTGGAATGTGGGCTCTCGTTGGCACCGATATTCGTCTCACTTCCGGCTCCGCCACCGCCTCCTCCGTTGCCATCTTTGCCTCCGCTGTCGTTATTGTGATTATTGTGAGTATTGGCGGTCGAGTGGGAGGTATTGGTGACCAAATCCAACTGCTTGTCGGCCTTAAGATGTGTTTTGCTGAAGTGATGTCTGAACGCACCCTTCGAGTTGAAGGTGGCCTCACAATAGGGACACTTAATGGAGTGCTCGCTCTTATGGTGCCTCTCGTCAGAAGCGGAGGTCGAGCCCTGTGTCGATGCGGTCGCATCACTGCACACCCAACTGAAGGCTAATAGCGATGGGGAGAGCCCTACGCCGGCACCGGTGTTGTTGTTGTTAATGTTGTTGGCGTTACTGCTACTACTGGTCTTGTTTTTGCCCGAATCTGTTTTGTCCAACAGTTTCTGCAATTGCATCAAAGGGTTAAAGCCATCCGATTCTGCCGATAAAGACTTGGACTTAGACCGCGAACTCGCTGTAGAAGAGCTATTGATTCGATCCGAGTCTTTGTCTGTCGGTGTCCTCACATCTGTTCGGCTCTTCTTCTCCGGTTTGGTCTCCATATCTATTGGCGAAGACGAGAGCCGTCTTCTGTGGGGACTTTTGTAGACCTTCTCTTCATCGCTGATATCACTTAACTTATCATTCATTTTGTGTTCACTTTTAATGCCATGAATTGATTGTGGAGTTAATGGGTTAGACTTTGGGGAATGGGATTCACTTTTTGGACTCAAATGTTTGCCTTTACTCTCGAAATCGTCTTCATTTTTAACTGAGATTAGAGACGAAATGGGAAACGAAAGCTTAGGCGAAGAGATTTGAGCGCCGGAACCGCTAGACTTCAATAATGGAATTCGCGTATTGTTTGTCAAACTACTGGAGCTGTCGGAGTCATCACAGTTGGAAGAGTCGGCGCTACTCATAGAGCCGTTGCTCTCTTTGAGAAGCTCTACCGGCAATGGACTACTTGATTGGTGTCCACTGCTTCGGCTACTGGTTCTGTCGGTATAGTACTCATTGCCGTTCCTATTCCAGGCCATGGGAGGCATGTGTTGCCACGGAGGACATACCTCTTCATCAATGCCCAGTCGTTGCAAAATACCCGTCGAATGGGTTTTACGAGTCTTTGGATCAAAGCTTTTCTCAATGAGTCTTTCGATGGCATTGAGAACGGATCCAAATCCAGATTCGCTTTCCTTAGCGTTGGCTTCTGTTGCCGTTTCAGACGACTCTTCTTTAGCCTCAGATCCGGAATGGGTTTTACCTTCATTTTCCAACACTTCCGACTTGATGTCTACCTGAGGGCTAACAGTCTGTCCACGACTGGGAGGCCCAGAACGTGAGCCACTGCTAGATGGAGACCTGACTCGATCGGGGGATTTGTCTGACTTAAGTGAGCGCAACGCCAGCTTTACCTGTGCTTTGCATAGCTTGATATGAGAGATGAAGTGCTGGGCCTCCACTTTCTCGTGACAGTCGTCGCACTGAATGAGCTGTCCGTTAGTACCTCCAGAAGCAGCACTGCTATCACTTTCCTCTTTCTCCTCTTTTGTCATCTCTCGTCTCTCCAGCTCTAAGAGCTTCCGGACGGGTAATGACTTCTTCCGGCGCTCGCGTGTCTGTCGGCGCCTCCCGTGTCCGCCTTCGGTGATACTCCTGAGGATGTGTTCCTTATAGTGCGAGTTCTTCACCATATGATATGACAATTCTTTGAGTGAACCAAACGCCTCGTCGCACACTTTGCACGTGAGGACGGCGTTCACCTGTGCTTGGGTTAGCTTGTCTTCAGGTGTCCGCCACGAGATGATCTGCTCCTGACTTATGATGTTTGTGTAGTGTTGGGTAACTCTCATATGAGTTGTCATGTCTGCCAGTGTTTTGAATGATTGGCCGCACCACATACCTATCGGTGCAATTAAATCGTTTGTAATTCATTTCATATACAGACTCTGCCATAAACTAAGATTTAGATGACTTCTCAGTCAAACACATATTGGCTTTTCTCTCAAGAATTCAAATCCGTATATAATATTATCTAATATTAGAATTTTCTTTATTTTCAAACCATTAAATCAAAATGTTTTTCAAAATAAAACACTTTTAAAAAAGTATTTAAACGATTTTTTTGATAAACTTTAATGATATTTATGAAGGCTTAGTACTGACGAGGAATTTATTATTTATGCCTAAACTCTAAATGGCATTTGATTTCATAAATTTTTAGTTAAACATATTATAACTAATTATTAACTAAAATAATTTATATGACTTATATTCAAATTCAAATAACGAACTCAACTCCAACTCTAAACTCCCCATCAGTTTATTGCTTTTGAAAGCAGAAAAAAGCTCAACTTTTCAAAGCCTTGGGCTTATTATTCAAAAAAGTTTTAAATAACCGATTATTTATTTTGCTTTAATCATATTTATTATTTGTCATATTATAATCAATCTTTAGTTCAAAATCTTTGCTCAAACTGCAAAACATTACAATTTTACCTCAATTTTTCAAATCTTCACTTAATGGTAAAAATTGTTCAACAATTAAAATGCTTAAAATGCTATCAAATTTTAATTAATGTTCTCTTGTTTGACATAAAAAGATGAGTTTTCGATAAATTAATTTCTTGAGAGATCAAAACCGGCACTTATTTGTGATTATAATTTATAATTTCACGAATTGAATGGAAATCACGCTTTTGTATGACTAATATTAACCCAATTTATAATATCGTTTCATAAAAGCATTTATATTTATGTTTATGTCTTAAGACTTAACCCAAAAATAATTGAATTCTTGTTTCGAATCTATTCTCTAATTATAATTATGGAAAGTATTGCACGAAATAATGACTTTTCAAATCGAAAACAATTATCGCAAACAAAACCAAACCAAACAATTAGATAATGAAATGTTTCTTACATTTAAGTATTTGTCGCGTCTGTTCAGCTCCGCGTCCTAACCAGACATCCTGTCCTCTGACCAGTTTGCGCGGGAGTCCGACATTGTTTTTGGCCAAAACTGATGAACTGATCGGCTCTTTGGTCACCGACGAGGAGGAGGGTTGATGTGATGATTGTGTGGGTGGGGCCCCACTGGGGCTTACGTTAGTGTTTTGAGCAGAGGTGGTGGCAGTGGCAGTGGCATGTTGCATACCAGCCATCCCACATCGGGGAGACCTCTTCATGTGGTCCGTCATTTCGGCTAAACTTCTGAACGATTCCTTACACCAAACGCATGTAAACACATCCCGTGTCTGTTCACTGCTTCGGTTAATCCATTGGGTTTGCCACGGATTCTGACGACCCGAATGGCCTCCGCTCGACAGACGGGCCGCCGATGTGGACGAGGATGGAGATGAAGACGGCGATGACATCTTAGCGGACAGTATGTTATTCTTAAGCTTTCCGTTCCAGACATGACTTAAATCCTTATGAGTGGATAGAGAAGACTGTTTGGGAGGCGTGAGAACCCGCGGCACAGAATAACTCCACGGATTCGATGCATCAAAGCGTGGAATCTTTGCCGAAACCGGGGATTTAGATATCGGTCCCAACAGTCGCTTCCCGACCGACAGATCAAGTGGAGTGTCATTTCGGACCCGATTCTCGTCTTTGTCTTTATCTTTGGTCGACAGAGAATGCGGTCCATTGAGTGATGGCTTGGATGCGGACCTGTTGTTGGCTTTAATACTGAAGTCGAGTGGAGTGGAGGCGTCGTCCGACTCCATGGGAACCGTCGATCGCTTCGGAGAGGGTTTGTCAGAGGATTTGGTATCACTTTCACTGCGAGCCGACTGTGAGCTCAGGTGAGTCTGTTTGCAGTCATTAGAGTTGTTATGCTTTGTATTAATTGAATGGGAAGTGCGAGCAGTGGTGGCACTCGAAGTCATACTCTTGTGGTGTTTGACTCCACTTTCACAATGAATTTCTTGCGCATCTCTATTGTCATTATTAGAGGCGTTATTGTTATCATTATTGTTATTATTATTACTTTTATTTGGCTCATCATTTGAGACAACACTTGGTTCCACACAATTGTCTTCTGCATCTTCTGCAGCACTTGTGGTGGCTTTTGGTGCCGGAGCTGAACACTCATCACTAAGAGGTGGTGTGATATTGGCTTCACTGGTCTCATCGTCTTGGAGTAGCTTTGGTTGAGTGTCTCGATCACCACCTTCTCCTCCATCAGTTGATTCAGTAGTGTCTGCGGCGTCTGTAGGGTCTGAAGGGTCGGAAGGGTCTGCACCGTCAGCTCCGTCAGCCCCGTCTTCCCCTAATAGTAGGCATAAGAGTGAAGCAAAAGAGCAAAGATTGAGTTGAGGGCACAAACAGTTTGGATATAATGGTTATAATGCTTAGCATATAATTATCATTAAAAAAGTGATTTATTAAACATTGCATTCAGTATACAGTGAATGGAATTAATACAGAATATAATGGGAGAGAGAATAGAGAGAGAGAGAGAGAGAGAGAGAGAGAGAGAATAGAGTGACTCGTTTTGACTCGTTTTCTTCATTAGCTGTTAGGCATAGAAGAAGTGAATATTGAATACCAAATAATGCTGTTTATGATGCTTTGGTTACCAGTTTCATAGCACTGTTGTCTCAGCGGCTATAACTCTATTACATAACTTGTAGGTGGCTTTGGCTTACAATAGCTGCTAACCACTGCTTCTACCAGTCCTTACAGCACTTACAGTGCTTTACGGCTCATTCATAACCAAAACGTCTTTACAATCAAATTGCCTATTTTAATACCTTATTGTGTAAAGCAATGCCGGCGAATAATGCAACCATTTATATACAATTCATAATTGGGTTCATTCACATCATTCACTTCATAGTCACTTCATTGCCTTACGTCTGATTTACTTTAAACTTATCATAACTCATCACAACTTCTCCTGTTTCAAGAGTTATAGCCATTTGTTTGGATCAGTTGTCGTTAGTATCAAATTCTTTGAAAAGTTCAATAATTGTCGTAAATATCAGTCAAGTTTTAATTTGCAAATAAAGTATCGCATTATAGATATCACATTATATGTGGTGTCAGTGTTTGTGTTTGCATTAGGTTTGGCTTATGGATGCAATATTTGAATGAATAGTTTGGATGAGATGTTGCTTCTCATCAAATCATGCCTGAAGTGTCAACAATTTATTAGCAAATCATTGGAGGGGATCCGAGTGCACACCACTACCAGAGCACTGCTATCCTTAACACTCCTGTGCTCTAAAGCCGAGCACAGGCTCCCAAAGCTAACAATATTGAGGTTCAGCCAACACTACACTACACTTAACTGCAGTATATTTTCACAAAACTTCTTTCAGATGTTTTCGGTTTGTATTGAAAGCACTGATTCAGTGATTCTTTGCTTGTATTATAAGTTAAAACATTTAAACGACTTTACAATACATCAAATCAGTTTAGCTCACAATCACATCACATAAGCATAAGTCAGAAATGTATAAATTCTCTCATAATTCAAGTGAAAAGTATTTCTATTTGAAGGCAAGTTGTTATTCAGGTGTTGTGTCAGTTAAGCCTTCTTTCGTCTGTTATTTATGTGAGTCTCAGAACTGATTCTCAAGAAATAACTTTCATTGAGAGAGCCTTTTGAGCCTTTTTTGTGCTCAAATAATCAATCAATCATTTGTTTCGCATCATTTAAGGTGGGGAAGGGGTGCCAATGAGACCGAGATTTATATACACAGTTAACGCAGTTAGCCCAGACCCGAGCTATGAGTGCCAAACAAAGTCTGCTTCACAATAGTTTTGGGAGTAATCAAAGCAAACGCTGAGGAATCTTAAGAGAACCGGATATATGGATATACGACTAGTTTTCATACACTCTTGCATTTGTTTACAATCAACGTTTTGGGATCCAATTTGACATAAATCATGCAAAACATCATCAGCACCTATACCTTTAGCTAATATTTGAGGTCACAATTGGGTGGCCCACCAAACAAATAATGGCATCAAAGGCCTTGAAATAGATTGGATGTAATCATAATATTACCTAAGAATTAGCTAATGTTTAACAGAATAAAAGGTGGGATTTATGAGTCAGGAGAGAGAGAGAGGGAGAGAGAGAGAGACAGAGTGAGAGAGAGAGAGAGAGAGAGCACTGTAATAGTGGTGTAATAGTGTAATAGTTTTGATTCAATCCATCAGAAGCTATAAAATAGGATCGAGAATAACATCAAATAAGGAGCGGTCGTCACTTTAAATGAGAAGTTTTAATGTATTTTTATGTTTTTATATAAATTTTATGATTTTATTCTCATTTTACGCATAAATATTTCATTTGCCACTAAATAACTAATAACTTATAACTAATAGAATAATAGTATAATATATAAAATAATATAATAGTTAGCGATATGAGTGCCAAATGTATGCATATCTGGGAAATATGTGCACGAATTCAAACAAAGGCTCATTTAATGTGGGGTCAGATGGGAACGCCTGCCGGAAGACCCGAGAATTGGTGGAAATAATTAAAATGCTGGCCATGAATGCCGTGATTGGCTCATCCCTGTCGCTGATTATAATTCGGTGGGTGGGCGGCCAACACACACTAAATCTATTGTAATTTGCCTTAACTCTCAACTCCATACTACCTGAGCCCTGAGCCACAACTAATAAATACAATCAAAACTCAGAGTTAGCCATAAATCACAAGATTTTTGGTGACTTTCGGGTCGAAGAACGCAAATAATTTACGTTAAACTCAAACTAATTTACGTAATATATTAGAAATGGTTTATATTGTATATCCAATGCCTATAATATCCACAAGAAAGTGACACCCCTTACACCCCTTCCCCCTCTACCATGGCTTCAGATGAACACTGCGCCAGCATTGAGTCCAAACGCTGGCATCCCATCCATGTCTAACAGTTTGCGTGATTTGAGTGAATAGAAAAACTGTCAAAATTGCAATACATTCGCATCGAAAACATTTATCATTGCTTTCATAAATTGTATTTCCCTTTATAACTATTAACGTATAGGCGTATAGACAGCAGACACACACAATATATGCTAATAAAATAAGTTTAAAAAACAATACAATACAATACAAACCGATGGAAAACTATACAATTGAAAGACAGGAGTAATTTGTTTTATTTATATTGTATTTACGTTTCATATCATTTCCAACAAATGGTTTAAAAAGGTTTTCTAAAAACAAGTCAAAGCAAGACTTTAGTCATAGACTTAGCTATAATTCAATCCTATTATAGTATGTCATAAAATTATCCAATATTTTGGTTAATTGGCTCAATAATTGTGAAACCATTAGAAACGACTCACGAATGAGAGAAGTTTGTATTGAATTAGTGTTTCGTTTGAATAAAACTAAAACTAATAATAATGTATAATAATTATTATCATTTATAAATACACTCATCTACGGTAATTATATCTAAATCATCAAATTATGATATTATATCTAATTTTGAATTTGTTTTACAGTAAAATATGAAAACTAATGAATAAATGGACAAAATTTAATTTTAATAATAAATGGTTTTTAAAAATACAATCCAATTACTAATTTCCAGGATTTATAATAGACTATCGTATGTGATCTTAACCTTAATTTTAATTTGAATGGAAATGGAATATATATATAAATTATAGTTTCATTTAAAATAAGAAATATGTAAATATTTTATTTTTAAAAGTATGGTTAAAATAAAAGCAATTCATTAATGCCTTATTTTACTGAACGCTAACTATAATTATCGAAATTAAATCAAAAATGTTTTCAATTCAAAGAATGAAATAAACATGAATTATATAATGAATTGTTATTTTGATAATTATTTAAAGTTTATTTTTTCAAACAATCCTTTGTCTTAAAAAATAATATAATTAATCAAGTAAAAATAGATAACAAGAAATTATGTGAATATTGAAGAGATAGTAATAAATGAAAATTAAATACAAATTCATCGTTAAAGACAAAGATAAGATCAAATACACACACATTTAAAACTAATGTATACTTTATATCGATTAAAATACATTCTCGTAAGAAATGTTTGATTTTTTGTTTTCATTAGAAAAAACAATTTAAAAAGCGGAGTAAAAATAAATCCATATTAAACTCTGTCATTTAAGTGCAAATCAAATAAACAAAATGTATACTGGTGTATAAACGAAAGTAAATCAAATCTAAAACAAGTGATAAGACGGTTGAATTGAAAAGAAAACATTTGAGAGGGAATTATATCCGAAAACTTATTACAAAACAAGGCTTTCATATCAATCAAAACGAAGAAAAATGATATTTAAGAGATGTGTCTGAGCTCTTCAATCATTGCCTCTGAAGTGCAATAATCACTTCAAATGCTTTTCGTGTAAATTCTCGAAAAAATATTTTTAGTAGTCTATCAAAAGTTGAAATAATTTTTTTTCGTCAAAAATAATAAATTAAATAATAAGTCATTAATTTTATAGAGCTTTTGAATTGAATTCACCTGAAACATTTTGGGAAATTTTCTCACAGATTGACGTTTTGGAAATTTTTTAATTAGTATTAATATCCTTTCATAGAAAATTAACTTAAAAATCTATTGCAACGGAAATATTAACTGAAATATTCAGCTAAATGCGAGAAAATTGCGAAAATTATAAACTTTTATATAAAATCATTTAATTATTTATTTATAAGAGTAATCAAACAATTTTAACTTTTCAAAGCCAGTCATAACGTCTAATTAATAAGAAATTGATTGACATAATGATAGACTGATTGGAAATTATTTTCTTTCAAAATTATAGACTCCTTTAGAGACATAAAAGTAATTTTGAAATACTGATAGTTTTTATTGATATAATTCTTGTAAATCTAAATGCTATGAAAAATATAAAGAGACAAAAATTCCATATAAAGTCAAGTTATCTAAACTATAAAATCAATTTATTTATTCAGAAAATATATCGCATTGAAAATCATTGAGAAAATTGTTCTCAAAATAAAATTTTATTTTTTGAAAATAAATAACTTTTTATCTAAAAATATGTTTTCCATTAAAAAAGTTCAATAAAGACCTGAAAACTCATTCTTATAATCAGATTAAACAGAATTATTGGGAAAAATTAAAATAGTTGTGTAACGAAACGGTGATTTAAATTGAGTGATAAATTGTTTAACTTTGTAAATACATTAAATAATATAATATTTGACTCAAAAACTGAATGCATTTAATGTAGAATTTTTATTCATAAAACTGATGGGAAAATCACGACTTTAAGGACACGATTTTGTAATACATTTGGCTGTGAATTAAAATACAAGAATAACGGACGGACCAATTGATTAATTTGCTGAAGGATCAGATAATAAACGCATAGATAATATATCGGAAATAAGGTCGTCGATGAAAGAGATTAATTCATTTCATTTCACCAAATAATCTACTCTTTGGTCACACAATAGGCCAACACATGAGCCGATAATCCCATTCACTCATCGCTTTCTTAATATACATTACTATTAATGCGCTCCAAAATTGCCTAAAGTTTTCTTAAATGCAATCAATTTAACACATAAATGAGAATATTGTGGATACAAAAT